GATGAGGCGGGCACCCCCAAAACGCCAAAAACCAAAAAAATAGGGAAATATAAATCAAAAAAATGGGGAACAAAACCTGGCTCCCAGATCGCCACCTGGAAGCTGCTTCAAACACTGCAGGGCATTGGCTTCTAATCATGAAATGGAGTTTCAGCTAGGGCGTACTGAATGTCCTGCTGTTCAATGGCTCGTACAGGACAACCTTCTCCCGCAATCCATTTTCCTGTCTTGGTGGGTTTTTGAACCACCTGAAAAAAGAATTGAAAAATGCTAGAAAAAACATTGTAGCTGCTTTTTGATATGCACGAGTCTCTATAGTGGGGCCTCCGGAAGCCCCCGCAAGTACAGGAAAGAGGTTGGGGCAGTGTGATTGCCCTGGGTCCTGGAAGGCCAGTGTTTAGCCAGACACTCAATGTGCCCCCAGCGAAACCTGGTGTTGAGTCAAACCCAGAATCCTTCAAGCCTAAGTCATGGCGAGGCCTGCTTCTCAAAGACTTTTTTTGTGGCAATCGTGGTTGTGAGCGGAGTTTCCATGGCTGAAGGCCGTACATGGCTTCGCAGGGGGTTGGAAGCAATAGGAACCGTTTGTCCGTAACAATGACTTGTGACGAGAGCCCTGCCCGCGCAGGACCTGTGAAGCAGCAGCTGCGTGAATACATATGATCGCTCATGACTGACCCATATGATCCGCACACACCCCGGCCTCCAACTCGGATTTGATGAGAGCAATGGGCACAAACACGCCTTTTGCACGCTGTTGGCATTTCAGGCCCTTGAACCAAGTCAGCAGGAGTTCACCAGTAAGTCGACCTTAACCAATGTCCGCATCCGCTTGAACCCCGACCAGTCCTGGCTGCCCAAAACAGCCAAACTTTCAACCGAACCTGAAAGCTCACTTGCCCATTCCAACAAAGCCAGGCCAGAAGCCAAACCCAAACTCCCAGCCCAAGTCCATATCAGAAAGTCAGAATGTCAGATAGTGCCGATCTCCTCAACCTTTTCGGAAATTGGGATTGGCCTGGGCCTGAACATCCTGAGCTTGAATCTGGACGTGAACCCTCACCTCACCGAGATACAAGCCGAGGCTGGTCCCAGCCCAAGCTGCAATGCTGCTCTGCCTAAGAAGTTGAAGTTTGGCCGAACCGTGACCTGCACCCTCCCACCCAACATCCAACCACGCTGCTGGTGAAGCAGACGAAGCAGCCGAGACCGATCTCGACAAAGTGATCTTGACGCTTTCATTGTTATTGCTTGTGCAGAACATAGATGCCCAAACCATGATGTCGTCCGTCTCTAAGAGCATCCGCTTGCCAGAACATCCATTCCCAGCCCAAGGCTTCGGGCTTAAAGGGATTTCAAGTTCGGACATGTTCGGATTGGCGGTGTTGCCTCACCGTCTTAGATCTAGGCCAATGGCTGGTAGCATTGTGGGATTCCGCGAGCGAGAGGCGAGGGAGCCTATTGTTGGCAGAGACAGGGTTTGGGTGGGCTTTGCTGCAACTTGCAGTGTATAGAAACTTGCGCGCCGCAAAATGTTCGTGTCCGGCGAAGTCTTCCCAGCATGAAGCCATGCAAAAAAACACCATAACAAGTTCAAAGCTTACCTTTTCACCGTCAAGAAAAGCCTTGTAAAGGGGGTTAAAACAAAATGCATGACACACGCGTAGTTGCGGTCGCAGAGAACGCCTCACGTTCCGATTCGGGCTACTTGCCTACTGGAAAACTGCAAACTTGCTAATTTGTACCTGCTTTCGAGATTTTGAGGAGATGATCTACGGTGTAGGGTATGGCAGCAACCACGCTGGTGCTCAGGTTGCTTGGCTACATGGGAAGCATGGTCGGCACGGAGCTTGGAGCCGGGAAATGTAGCTGGCACTCATGACTCACGTTGAGTGCGGAAAGTTCAGACCGCGTCAGCGCACAGGAGTGGTATGGGTTGGGCTGCCACGCGAGGAAGAAGCACTTAAGCAGGACGGACGGTATCGCGAATTTGAAGAACCTTTGCTGTTGTGGCTGCTACTGCTGCTTGCAGGCATTGCCCGTGCTCTCTGTCAAGCTGGGTAGATCTGGGGGCGAGAAACTTGGCCTCTTCTTGCGGCCCAATTCGGAGGGCACTGCAACTGTCGCGGGCTGCTTTGCTGAAACCTAGTGCACATCATGTCAGCAAAATGTCATGTCACCAACAAACGACGTGGTTGCTCGAGTTGCTCTCAGGAATTGCCGATGGCGAGTCGGGCTTCCAGTTCGCTTTTGCAGTCTCCCTGCACACAACCCTAAACCCTCTCTTTCCATTTTCCCTGACTCCTTGGATTTTCTGATCTGCACCGTTGGACGGGCAACATAACCCCCCGTCTCGTGTGAACTCCTTGACAGAAAGCCTGCACAAACTTCTTGCGCATTATTTCCAAAATACCTCTCACGAGAAGTTTTGAGTTGACCGCTTGACAGGCATCATGTGCTGTGATTAGTCGACCGCAGGAGGTTGCATGGCCCCATCATCAAAAGCATGTCCTTGGAAGGGATGGCCCCAAGCTTGGGGTGGACATATTCTGCTTTGAGACGCAGCCTTTACGAACAAAAATGCCAACATGCACATTTTTGCAAAGTACAATGGCTTTGTTCTGCCCTGCAGTGCGAGGCACGCATAGCTGATCGTAGCAGTTAGCTATGAGATTGTCTGCGCGCAACAGGCCCAAACTAGAGCCACCTCGATTCTTACAGTAGCATGCATATGGGAAGTCGGCAATGCACCTGGGAGAGCAATGGCATATGCCAAGTTCGTTGACACAGTTGAGCAAGGTTTTTTGTTTGTCCCCATGTTTTCGATCAATTTGGTGGCTACGCAGAGATCAATCTCGAAAATGTGCGCCGGACTGTGGCCACAGAAGGTTCGGGGAAGGGGAAGTGGCTTCGTGGAAGGAGATGGCTTCGTCGCCGAAGGTGCCGCCAAAGTATTCCATGGTTGATATGATACCTCGCGGAATCGAAAAGGTTCTCGGACGGTTCGTTCGTGGAAGTTTGTTATAGTTTTTCTCCATCATAAGAATTGTCGTGGGGGCACCGCTCAGTTGCAAGTCGAAAGCAGAAGCTTGAGGCAAGCTTAAATCAACAGCTTGTGCGAATTTGTGCGGCCTGTGCCAGCGTAGCATCCTACCGAGCCATGGCACCATCTCCAGGGGTTATGTGGCTAGCCTTCTGCAACCATTTGCTGCCTTTGCTGCTCGTGCTGCCACCAAGTTGCCGCTGCCGCTCGAGTCAAGTGTGGGCGTAAGCAGCGACGCCTGCTAACTGCAGCTCTCAACGGGCTTTGGGAGGACACTGGACCACCTCCAGCGTGGAACCCGCTTGCCGGCTTGGGCACCTGCACGTGCCCCAAGCTGCCTCGTCGAGCTGGGCGACGGCTTTTTGAGGGCCAGCACCGCTCGTGGGGGCAAACACATCCCTCCCTTCAACGCTGGTCGGGCTGGCCCTTGCGTGCTTGCCGTATTGGCGAGGCCAGCCACCCGGGCCCTCCCTTGCCAGGCACACCAGTTGGAGGCGAGCGGCCTTCTCCACTACCTGGGCATCGCCGTGATCGTTCACCAAGTCCTGCAGCCATGGATGTTGATGGGGATCGGGAGAGGGGCTCCGCGGATATTTTGCCCTGTTCCTGGGTGCCCTTGCGCTGATCCTGCTCGGGCCCCTGGATGGCTCAATGTTGCGACTATGCACGGGCACGTGGATGCCCATCTAGCTGGTTCGTTGCAAGGCGAGGTGCCGGCCCAGTGGCTCCGCGACCATTCGCGCCAGCGATGCTCTGTCTGCGGCCTCAGTGTCTCTACCAGATATGGCGCATCACGTGCAGACCAGCTGCGCGTGCCGCACTTGGGCCCGTTGCCGACCCTCGCCCACGTGATCGTGACCTGCCTACCTTTGTTGACATCCAGTCCGGGCGCACCCGCACCTTGCGTCACGTGCCTACTGCTGCGCGCTTCCTTTGGGGCCGCGCCCTGGCGCAAGCCCTTTCCGCTGCTGTGCACCACAACGATGCCAAAGCTTGGACTGAACTGCTTATGCTGCCTCAGTGTGTGCTGGGCGCCCCGCCACGGGGTGGCCGAAGGCACCGCCGTGCTGCTGCAGCCTACACAGTGGATCGCTTGCAACGCTGGGCCGAAGGTGAGCGACAGTCTTTGGGACGACCGTTTCAAGCAGCCAGCCCCAAAACATGGCCAGCTTGATGAGGAGCAGACGCGCTCTTGCTGTGTCCTTGGCCCGGGAGGGCTTTGACCGTAAAGCCTGCAACGCCCTTCTCGCTGCCGGCCTCTGCCCCGACACTCCTGACAGTGTGTCTGCGCTGCGTGCTTTGCACCCTGTCCAGGCCATGCCGGCTGTCGACATTGATTCCCTCCCGTTGGCCTATGAGGTTCCCCCTGAAGTGGTCGCACGTGTCCTGCGGCAGTTCCCTGCTGACAGCGCTCCTGGGCCGTGTGGCCTCCGCGTGCAGCGCTTGCGTGAAGCTGGGCCGCCTGGGGCCGCCAACAACCTGCATGAGCACTTGGCCGGCTTGGTCAACCTGCTTGCACAAGGACAGGCCTGTCCTGAGGTTGCTCCTGTCTTGGCTGGTGCTGGTCTTGTTGCTCTCCCCAAGCCGCATGGCGGTGTTCGCCCGATTGCTGTCGGTGAGGTCTTGCGCCGCTTGACCGGCAAGTGCCTCATGACCCTCGCTCGTGATGAGGCGCGGAGTTTCTTCTGGCCTGTTCAGCTCGGCGTCGCCGTGCCCGCCGGGGTCGAAGCTGCCGTGCACACAGTCCGGGCCTGGTTTGGCCGCAATGCCACCTCCTCCGGCAAGCTTCTGCTCAAGTTAGATTTTTCGAACGCGTTTAATACCATCTCCAGGGAACACGTCGTTGCAGAGACTTGCTTGCATTTTCCGGGCCTTGCTAGGTGGGTAGGTTGGTGCTACAGGCGTCCCTCTGCCCTTCAGTTTGGGAGTGCTTCTACAGTGCAGTCGGCCGGCGGCGTGCAACAGGGCGACCCGTTGGGCCCTTTGCTTTTCTCGGCTGCGCTCCAAGTCTCTTGCTCAGGACCTTCGCGGGCAGGGGCTCGACCTTGCTTTCTTCTATCTCGATGATGGCGTCATCGCGGGTGATGTGCACGCAGTTGTCCGCGCCCTCCAGCTCGTGCAACGTCGCGCCCCTGCTCTGGGCCTGCGGCTCAACCTCAGCAAGTGTGAAGTTGTGGGGGCGGGGCTCTTGTCGGAGTCGGCAGTCTCGCAACTTCTTCCTTTAGAAATGCTTCGGGGGCCTGACGGGGCCAGCCGCTTCCAACGCAGCTTGGACTTGCTTGGGGCAGCGGTTGGGGATGACGCCTTCGTCTCTGCGCACACCAACGCCCGTGTTGAGGCTGCCGCCTCTTTTGGATGCGTTGGCCCAGCTCGAGGACGCGCAGGTTGGACTTCGCATGTTGCGTTCCTGTGCCGGTTACACTCGCCTAGTCCACAGCATGCGGTGCACCCCTCCCACTTGCCAGCGGGAAGCCTTGCAGCGGTTTGACTCGCTTGTGTGTAGTAGTCTTGCTGGCATCACTGGGCTCCACCCGCGCAGCTTGGGCAAGCGGCGCGGGCCTTCGCTCAGGCTGGCCTTGGACTTAGGTCTGCTGCGCGTGATGCGTTTGCTGCCTACCTTGCCTCTTGCCCCTCTCGCCACGGACCCTTATGTCCTGCGAGCTTTCCGGCCACGCCTGAGGCTGCCCTTGCCGCAAAGCAGAAAACCCTCACCGCCCTTGCCGAGGAAACCAGCCAGCGCGAGCACCCCGCGGCCCCCCCGGTTGTCGGGCGTGCCGTGCTTCTCTCTGAGGCTGAGCCTGGCGCGAGAGCCTTCCTTGCTGCTAGCCCGGTTGGGCGCGCGCGCATGGACTCTGCTGTTTTTGTGGCCGAGTCAGCGACTCATGCCCGATGCCGCTTCTGACCTGTGGTGTCCTCAGTGCCGCGTCCTGGACAGGTTCTCCTTGCGCGCGGGAACTTGTGTCGCAGGCGGCGAACGCAATCAGCGCTTCGTGATCTCCTTTATTCTTGGGCGGAGCGGGCGGGCTTGCAACCGGAGAAGGAGCGACCCGGGCTCCTCCTCCCGCAAAGGCCTGAAGACTCCCGCCTGGCCCAACGACGCCCTGCAGATGTCTATTTGCTAAGCCTCAAAGGCTTTCCTGCTGCAGGCCCAGGCTGGGCAAAGTGCACTTGCTGCTGCTACTGCGTATTCCCGCACCAAGGAAATGCATCTTGATAGTGCCAACGCCTGTGCTGCCCAAGGCGTCCGCTTCCACCCCCTTGTGGTTGAGGCGACAGGTGCATGGTCGCGTGAGGCTGCGGCCATCCTCACACTCATTTCCCAGGCGGTTGCTGCCCGCGAAGGTGACCAAGCCTCCCTTGTGCGTGCTCGGCTCTTGCAGGAGTTGAGCGTTGTCGCGCGCAGCCATCGCGCTAGGGCGGTGCTTCGCTGCCGATCTGAGCTCGCCGCAGCCAGCTGAGCAGTCATGTTTCCGTGCCACTTGCCTTCTTGTTTTCGCCTTGCTCCGCATTGTTCCTGCGCTAAGCACAGGCCTGTGCCGTAGCTTCCTCTCTCAGTGTGCATTCCTCTGGGCTCCTGTGCCTCCGTCCGCACGCGTTTAGCGGTGCCTCGTCCGCCCAGCGTGCCTGCTGGCCGATGTGGTAAGGGCTTACCCCTAAACCTTTCTTCATCGGACCACCTGCTGCCGTAGTTGTAGTTGTACGTAGTGGGCAGCCGCCAATTTCGGCCTCGGGCTGGAACTGGGGGGTGCTCCGGTAGCTGGCAGTCCCCTCACAATCCTGCGGGGACTTCTATGCGCACAGAAGACGACACCTGCAGAAGTAAAAAGAGAGATTTCCACAGCGTGGGGAGGGCGCAGCGCCGCTGTGAGAAGAAGAACAGATAGAGAGAGAGAGATAGACAGAGAGTAGTTTGAGCCGTAGCCATTTTGGCTCAAGTTTTGGCTCAAGAGTTTTCCTTGGGAGTAGGGCTTGTCAGGAGTGCAAATTTCGTCTACCTCACTTGTTTTAGGAGTGGCCTTGGGGGAATAAGATTTGGAGAAAAGGGGCAGCCATGGCCGAACAACACTAGATGTGGGAGCCGGAACTTGTGAGGATGAAGCTGGTGCAATGGAACGTCCGCCAGTGTTGCTACAGCGGGGTCGGGTTTGAGGCCTGGTGTTGCTGTGGGCCAGATCTGCTACAACTGCGAGTCACAGGGAGCTATAAAGAGAAGCCATACATATCAACCAGGATGCCGCCGATACATACAGGGAGCCAGCATGGATGACATGAGAAGAGCAGCGAAGGGCGGGAAAAATGGTCGTACACATCTTCTCAGGAAGCTGGGCCGAGGAGAAGCGGAAGGCCAAAGACAGAACGCGGTGCCTGCCAAAGCCAAGTGCACAAAGGATCGACAGGAAAAAACGGGAGACGACCGAAAGCTGGAAAGGAAGACAAAGACAAGAAGAAAGGCTATATCGTCAAGCTCCTCATCGAGCACAACGACATCAGATGAAAAGAAGATAGAGAAGACGAAGAGGGAGAAGACAACCCTGCGAAGGAAAGAGAGAGCTAGCAGCTCTAAAAGGATACGACACAGTGATGAGGAAAGCGCTTCCAGCCCTGACATGGTTGCAGTCATCCTGGGTCCTGGGGAAGGCTGACGACAAGACAAGGAGGAAGGCGCGACTTCGAAAGCCTGACGAAGAGAGATCAGGGAAGAAGCGACCCGAAGCAGTGCAGCCACAGAGAGGGGCTTCGTCGAGCACGGTGACAAAAAGTGGTAACTGTAAAAAAGTCACAGTCCCGCCGCCAGAGGGAGCGAGAGTAGACCCGGAGCTGCTGCGCAGGGAAAGAGCCAGGCAGCTCGAACAAGAACATAGAATAGCAAGAGAAAAAAGCTCTGCAACAGACGATCCAGCGGATGCGGACGGCTGACGCTCAAGCGAGAACAAAGGAAGCCCAAGAGAAAGACACAGACAAAAGTTTGCGAGAAGAGGAGGCCAATCCCCTGTCCGCGAACGAGTCGGCGCAGGGAACAGGACCCCAACCACGAGATCAGAGCAAGGGACCGACCTGCAAGGAAAGTCCTCCTTCACCATGATTAGGGTGAGGGAGGACACCCCGTTGGACGAGGAACCAAGTGATGAGAGTGCAGATTGGTGGAGAGCCCTTTCTTGCCCACAAAGGACAAGCAGGACTCCTCCCAAGAGGATGCCGAAGAAGAGCTGCGACGCGTAGAAAGGGAAAAGGCAAACAATGAGGACAGGGTACCGAAGAATCAGCCGGACCTGGAGAAGCCGACGACCGAGAACACGAGCCTGGCGTGGCATCGAAACACTCCCCCAGCTGAACCGGTAGGCGAGCCAAAGGCAAAGGAGCCCGTGATCGAAGAAGACCCATGGGAGTTGCGCCTGGAACAAGTCAAGTACTTTACCCTTTTCATCTCCAATGAGTGCAAAGCTGAGAAGAGGGAACCTCACATGGTGGAGATTCGCTTACTAGCAAGGGAGCTAGAGGCGTTGCGTGGGCGCATGCAAGAGGAACTAGTGCTCTCAAGCATCCAAACGTTCGTTGATAAATTTTCAGGGAACTGAGGCAAAGAATGAGGATCAAAAGGAAAGCAGTACTGAGACAACGAAGTGGAAAATAAGAAGTTACATCATCTGGCGCAATGCGGAAACAACTGCAAAACACACTGAGCCAAACTGCTACAGAGGAAGTTCTACCGTGATCCTACCGATACCATGCAAATTCGCAATACCTGCGGCAAGGGAATGGGGATGGCTAAGGGGGGCTCTAGGGGACGCTTTGGAAGGAATCGGGGTGGTTTTGATTGGTTTTCGTGCCTTGTTGTAGGAAGCGGGGAATTACAAGTCGAAGACGACATGGATGTGAATGCACAAAAATTCCGTATGCAAAGTGGTAGATCAATCCACAAGGCAAATCAAGCTGGAAATGTTGAGATGTGTACAAAGTGCTGGAACAAAGCTAAAGCGGCAGGGCGGTGAGATGCAGGGACAAATGGAGCTCAGCGAGGATGGGTACATTGACCTAATATTGGGTGGTACTCGGAGGACTACGTTGGCTCCATCTGTCAACCTTACCTCGGCCAGTTTCTTCAGGGCTAAAGCCAAGTCACAGTGATGACCCTTTGAGAAATGGGTGACTGGAGGAAGGGAGAAGAAGAAGAAGAGGGGGGGGAAGAACGTACAACGGTCCCCATGGTCTCCTTTCTCCATACTGCGCAGGTCGGGGAACCAGCGCTTGGGGCTGCCCGGCGTGGCCCTCGCATAGCGCGTAGAAGAGGAAGAAGAAGTAGTTTGAGCCACTACCGCATCAAGCCCCCGGACACCCTCCAGTGAGCCACCGTACCTCCCCCTTCTTGCAGTGTCCGCGCGGGCTGTAGAGCGGTTTCTCGATCTAACCTTTGAGCCGCCATAACACGGGCAAGTTTGCAACACTACTACGCGTCTACACCAACAACCTTGGGCAGAGCGACTTCAACAAGAACAATCCTGTACGGCATTTGTTGCTGCGCGACTGCTCTTTGACCCGGCCCTGGAGTGCATCTACAACATCCTCCTGCCGAACCCTCTACGCTGGGAGAGGCACAAGTTCAATTACCACGTCGTGACTCTGGCCAACAACCCACTGTGGCACCCAACCTGGGGAGATATGGCAAACAACAAACCAGCCTCGAGCACGGCCCCAATCGACGTGCGCACGGACAGTCCGGGAGCAAAACGGCCTTGTCCCACCTCCACCCATGGAGCTCTGGAGGGCACCCCGCTGACACTGGAGATGTTCGAGAGCGTGATCAAGCCACTGATTGCCAAGATTACCACCGTAGAAACACGCATTTTCCAGGTGGAAGCAGCAGTCACAGACAGGATGAAGGAGCAAATGAACCTGCTCACAGCCATCAGAAGCACTCAGTCACAACACTCAGCAGATCTGGCCAACCTCCAGACCAAAGACAAAGCAAACCAAGACACGTTTCAGGACATCCAGCGACGCCTCACAAAGCTGGAAACACAGCTACCGCCATCCAGGGCAACCTCAACCGCTACAGCAGAGAACAGGCAACCGGCGCTTATCATGGGAGGGTGGGCCTATGACCAGCAGGCAACCATCACCATGCGACTGGCCAAAGAGACATGCCACAAACTCAGCTTGGACATCAACATGCCTTTGGCCCAGGAATTCGTCGCGGCCACCTGGTCATCCCATGCAAGACCAAGGACAACGAGAGTGAGCAAGCAATGTACACCAGGCTCACACAAGCCATCCAGCTAGTCAGGCAAGCCAACCAAACAACTGGCGCCATCACCCCGGATGGCCAACCAAAGCGGCTATGGTTGATCTTTTCCCAAACCCCAGAGAGGAGACGTCGTGCAAGATTTGCGGGAAAGGTGCAAGGATTGCTGCTGGAACAGGGCGCTAGCAACCGCCACCTTCAGGTCGAGTATGCAACTGGCACAACTTGATACCAGGGCAGAAAGGTGGCCAGCGCAACAGCCTCCCCGCCACCAAGGCAACCAATAGAGAAGAGGCCGCTGGGATGGCTGGACGTGGAAGCCATTGGCAACCATAGTATGAAGACCAAGGACGTCATGGCAGCGTCCTGGAACATCCTGATCCAACCGTTGCTCCAGTGACGCGGCAAAGCAAGGCCACAGAATTGAGCACGTTCCTAAACCCAAAGGACAACTTTAACAATGAACCTGGCCAACCTGTACCATAATGGCAGGCGCTGAACTCCAAATGAAGCCACTGGGCAAGAAAAAGCCTCCTCGAGAAAAGAAAGGCAACAGTGAGGCCACAAGTTCCGTCAAACGGGGATGGCGGGGCCCCTTTAGCAAATAGTTAAAGTGTGTACCACAATCACCCCAAGGAGCAGCGCGCATGTAGCACAGTCGTGCTTCACCAAAACTAAGAGGGGAAGGCACAACACTTGCTCTACTACCCAGGCACGTCTACCCCCTCCAAATTGGTTCTTCCCCGAATTCCGCGCTTTTCGCGGGCAAAAGTTTCACTAACATTGTCAAGCCTGCCCACACAGCACCTACTGGCTAATCCCAACCACCTCCTCAATGCCTAACCCCTCTTCACCTTGGGGTCAAGTCGTGGTTGCAAAGGCAGGATGGCAAATTCGTGTGGCGATACCTACCATGCTGGAACCCACAAAAGCACACGACTTCCTTACAGCCTTCCAGGGACCGAATACAGTGTTTCAGTCAGTTACCCCGAATTGCCTGCCTGCAGCTAAGTGTGGAGTCACGAGGGGTGAAGTAGCAACAGAGCAGCCCAACAAGGGCTGGGCATTGAAGCCCGGAGCAGCCTCAGGGTTGCTCCATGACCCGAACGAAATAAAGACTTTTTCGACTTTCGAATCTTGCGCGGTTTGCGACAGGCATTGCCTGTATGAGTCGCTATGTCTCGCCCTTTGAAGCATGCAGGCAAAACAGCTGTAAAG